TCATTCTTGTCAAATATATTGCTGAAAATTAAAAATAAAACCATCGATGTCAGCGTACAATTATTACATATATATATATATATATATATATATATATATATATATATATATATATATATATATATATATATATATATATATTGTCATTCTTGTCAAATATATCGCTGAGCAGAATTAACTGTGGCATTCAAGGATCCATAATAAAACAATTGAGGCTGTTGTACCTTATATATATATATATATATATATATATATATATATATATATATATATATATATATTATATATATATATAGTTAGTTTATGCAAATTTAGGTAATCCGTATGGGTAGACCTGAGGAGGATGATATCCAGAGAGCTCAATGTAAAATTCAGAGCAGATATGTTTGAATAAAAACAGACCACCTTAAGATTCCATGTAATAAGCTATTTCACCATAACCCCTTAACAGGGTTCTGGATCATCAGACTTTACTTCCAAAAGCTGAAATGAAAATGAAAAAAATTCACACGTTTTTACGGACCTCATCAAGTATACGCAAAGTTAAAAAAGAAGTGAGGAAGTGAGGTGGGAGAGAGGATATGAGTGTGTCATATGTATCATTTTAGTTTCTTATTTTAACCCCAGTGTGTCGGTTGGATGTTGCTCAAATTTAACGCGTCTCATATATATATATATATATATATATATATATATATATACCTAAGTATAGGATTGGTGTATACGGAATAAATGCCAATAACCAACAATTACTATTCTTAAAAGAGTGCTCAATAAAGAGTAGAGCAGATAGAATTATTTATTTAAAAATTATAACATAAATATACAAAAAATAACTACAAAAATAGCCATTTTGTTTCAACACCTCCGTTGTCTTATCAAGTGATGATGTTGAATGTGGATTGATTGTTAAGAAACAGTAATTGTCATTCTTGTCAAATATGTCGTTGAACAAAATTGAGGCTGTCATACCTTATATATATATATATATATATATATATATATATATATATATATATATATATATATACATAGCATTAACATTTGTTATGAAACAGTAGATGTAATTCAGTCTTTAAACATTTCGCTTATCATAATGATTTGACTCATCTGTGTATATATGTTTACGCATTACTAGTTGTATATGTTAGTGTGTGCGTTCAATTGTGTGTATATTGTATAAATAATTATGTGTCTTTATTAATGTATATGAAGCAGTGGGTGTGTGGGTCTCTCTAAACGGAATTACATTTCAAGTGCGTGAGTGTGGTTGATAATTACTGAACTCATCTTAGTCTGATATACGCCAACAAATGTGAGATACCCAATGCGAATTGAACTTGTTGCCATGGTAACAGAGTGCTCAGTATTGTGCCACGTTACTATCCAGGGGGATGGTCATAAATGATGATCGAACTCCACAAATGAGTGAATAGTTCTGCAAGACGAGTTTACTTATTGTTCAGTGTTTAGTCAACCTAATCGGTGAGACTTGATTCGTAACCATTGAAGCCAGGAGAGTCACCCCTGAATGATTGTTTGCATGGATGTAAAAGAGTAATTGTACGTGTGCCATTCGCAAACTCGGTATGCATATAGTGAGAGCACGACGCAACAATTTCTAACCAAAGCCATAACTTAAAAACTACAGTTTCAAAATTTCATTTCGAACATCTTTTATCTCTCGAATAGCAGTCTCTCTCAACCCGAATTCACAACCATAATAACTCCCCAAGTGTGTGAAGCCAAAAAATCATTTCTTTTCAAGCTGAATCCCCCCCACCCTGCTCACAACAGCCGGTTTGCATATCGGAAATTGCCAATCAAACAAGGATTTCGTAAGCACAATTTATAATTTCTAAATCATGATTGACAATGAGAAAGGAAAACTACGCTTTATAACATCTTGGCGGTGACTGACATATTTTGCCTCTAGGAAGAAATCTGACAAGATAGGAATGGTTCATGACGGTTTATTTTATGGAAGAAGAGATGAAGTGCCAGAAAATATCAATTTAAATTAAGAAGAAACTAGACAGCACGACAGGCAGATTGATAGGTAAATTATTAAAATTACAGAGATCAATGAACAGAGAGAGAAAAAGAGATGGGGAGGGGGGAGATCAGCAATCGATAAACAAAGATAGGTAGATAGATAGATAGATAGATAGATAGATAGATAGATAGATAGAAAAAAGGAAACCTAAATAAAACAAAACATTTATATATACACAATCCTATACTTGGGTATATATATATATATATATATATATATATATATATATATATATATATATATATATATATGATATACCTATATATATATATATATATATATATATATATATATATATATATATATATATATATATATATATATATATATATAAATATATATATATATATATATATATATATATATATATATATATATATATATATATATATATATATATATATATATATATATATATATAATACACACACACACACACACACACACACACACATATATATATATATATATATATATATATATATATATATATATATATACCCAAGTATAGGATTGGTGTATACGGAATAAATTCCAATAACTAAAACATACTATTCTTAAAAGAGTAAATATAATTTATTCGAAAATTATATCCAAAATATGTTATAAAATCACTAAGGCAACTTAATAAGAAACCAGAAGTGTTGAAACAAAATGACTATTTTTGTAGTGATTTTATAACATATTTCTGTTATAAATAGACAGCCCGACAACAGCACATGAGATTTGATTATAGTGGCGAAGGTTTCGTGCAGAACCATCCACACTTTTTGAAGGGGCCGAATACGTGCACTACGTGCCACAAGGTCCCCAAACGACCTTGCGCAGGTGTTGAATTCAGAGTTGTTCTTCTCCTAGACCGGTTGCCACCCAAGGCTATAGAACCCAGTCTGTCCTGCTATTTAACCCATAGCTGGAGGGAGAAGAGGGTATTCGCACGTAAGTGAATGTAACTGGATTCGACTTGAATTCGGACCCGGCTCTTCGATTGCTCAATCCAAGCCGCTATCCATTACTCCATCGTGTCTCTCTCTGTCTCTCTCTCTCTCTCTCTCTCTCTCTATATATATATAGAGAGAGAGGAGACACACAGATATATATATACAATAGGAGTTCGGTTGCCTTCACTTCTGGACAGACAGGTTAACCGTTATCTTCCACTCTTGTACACACAAACGGCCTCCTAGCGTAATCCTCAACCACGAATAGCCTTGTAAAGGGTGAAATTACTGTAAAATATGTTCTTTTATGAAATAAAAACGACTGCCTATTATCGATGTATCTAATTAGAATATCAAAATTGATTCCTCGTCCATTTTGATAGGTATTTGAGAGTAAAAATGGAAAACACTGTTTACTTTCTCCTTTCGTTTAAGGATTTTTTTAAAATCTTTCTTATTTCATTCGAAATCTTCTTCATTTTCCACCTCAGCGTCTCTTTGTGTTATCTTCGCTTTCCTATCTTTCCTTAATTTAAACAACATCTTTGTATTAACTCCTTTTATCAGTTCAGCGTTTTCTTCTTTCCTTCCCTTAATTCTGAAATCTTCGTTCTTTTTACAACTCTGCCTTCGATTTATTTATCTTCTTTTCTTATCTCTTTCATTTTTATGTCTACATTCAGTCACTTTCCCTTAAACTTATTTCCTTTCATTGACCTTTTCTTTCTTTAAGCTTTATATTTCTTCCTTTGTTTTTCTGCTCCGTTCTTTTTATTGATTCCGCCATTTTTAAGCATTCTGAGCTTTCCAATTACCGCCGCGAAAAATGTTCACGTTTGAGTTAAGGTGTAAATACCAGAAAATATTGTGTACACTAGCCCACAGCTCACGAGCATGTCTATATAAATTGATTATTGACAATTCATTGGAGAAGTCGCTGAGGATCGTGTGTTCTCGTATACGTTTGTTTTTTAAGCATATGAGTATGATAGCCAATATTGGAAGTGATTTATTTATTTTTCTTTTCATATTGTTGTTTTTCTTTTTTATGTGTGTGTGTGTGTCTTGACAAATTTCGTTTTTACGGTTTAATATCCCAAGCAGCTTCTGAATATTGCTTGAAGGCCGAAAATATTAATAGCTAATTTGGGGTTAATGCGCCGAAAATACTGAGAAAAATCAAAGCCAACGATGATAGATTCATTATCCGGCTGCAAAGGAAAGCATTCTTGAGGCTTAATTACTCAAATGTTTTGTTCACTTCTTGCACGCTATAATAATCGACGGAATAATGTAACTGATCATCCGAGAAAAATTCTCGGCTACTGATGTTCGCGTTATGGCAGCTGTAAAAAAAAATATTTTGATTAAGCAAGAATCTGGAAAAGGCAAAATTTCATTTGTAAAATGAGAGAAAAAAAAAATTGAAGCCCGTTACCTGGCAAACAAAGAGAGGTGAAAAGAAGACGGGGATGTCCGATAAAAAGAATCTGGGAAAATGCAGGTATACAGAAAGAAATATGAACATAGTGATATCGATAAATCAACAAAGTGAGAAAGACATTGATAAACATTTACTGACCGCTGTATACAGAGGCGATAAAAAGTGAATATAGATGGAAAAAGCATATACATCAAAAGATACAGACAGAAAGAAAGCTTAAATAAAAAAATTAAAGACAAAAAAAGAAACAGATCAAGAACGAGTAAGGCAAATGTTCACATCCGACATGGAAATATGAGTGAGATGAAATTCGTCTTTCTTGCTTCCCTTTTAATTTCTTTACGATGTCTACAGTCGCAAGCTCAATCAGTGAATACAGAAAAGTGAATTTTTTTTTCTTTGAAGTAAGGTTCAACCTCTACAAGGCCCGGGGGCCCCTCAAGGCAGAGACTTACGTTAATGGACAGTTTATATAGTTAGTTCGTTGGATATTGTTTACCTTTTAAGTAATACTTAACAAGATGTCAACACACTATATCTCAGTCAATATTCAGATTATTCAAATTAAAGATTCTCGTATATATATATATATATATATAGATAGATAGATAGATAGATAGATAGAAGATAGATAGATAGATAGATATATGAGATACATATGAACAGGGATAGATAGAAATGATAGATAAATGAACAGCGGTAGATAGATAGATAGATAGATAGATAGATAGATAGATAGATAGATAGATAGATAGATAATGAACAGACTGAGATACATATGAACAGAGATAGATAGAAATGAACAGAGATAGATAGAAATGAACAGATAGATAGATAGATAGATAGATAGATAGATAGATAGATAGGATAATAAAAGAGACTGAGATACATATGAACAGAGATAGATAGAAATGAACATAGATAGATAGATAGATAGATAGATAGATAGATAGATAGATAGATAGATAGATAGATAGATAGATAATGAGCAGACTGAGATAACATAGATAGAAATGAACAGATAGATAGATAGATAGATAGATAGATAGATAGATAGATAGATAGATAGATAGATAATAAACAGACTGAGATACATATGAACAGAGATAGGTAGAAATGAACATAGATAGATAGATATAGATATAGATAGATAGATAGATAGATAGATAGATAGACAGACATTCATTCATTCATTCATTCATTAGTGAACAACAATGGTCTTTATTTTAAGTATTTATTTAAGTATTTACTTTGTGGGAGTACTCAGTGTGGGAAGTTTGTCAAAAATCGACCATGCTCACTCCGACAACAATTTCGTAATTGTATCCAGATAGTGTGACTCCACCCACAACCACTTTCTGGAAGTATGTGTCAGTTTATTTTTATGAATGAACTAAGAAATATGGGCATCGTCTGTTTGAAATGTTTTCAACCAAATTACTTTCCCCGGCCTCATACTCTGATCGTTTTTTTTTGCATAAATAAAAAACAAAAACGATATAAAATTCTAATACAATTTATATGACTAGTAAGATAGATGGAAGTCTTTAGAATTTGGAAACGGTGCATATCCTGGTTTTGGTAAACCAATGTAGAATAAATATGGACCAGTCTATTTAAGTTGTTCCATATTCGTGATCCCTTTATTCTATAAATATCAGTTAAATGATATTGATTAAATAAATTATGATAAATTTCGGACGTTAACTTTTGTTTTATTTCTAATGGAAGAGAGAAAACTGTTATTTGGTTAACTAACGTAATTTTTTTTCTGTATTGAATTTTTTTGAAGCGCATGCGCAAAGATTTGAGTTTAATTATTTATCTTAAATGATGAATAAACGGATTCATACTTTTATTATTTAAATTTTTGTTTATTCTTTATCATTTGTATATGTGCTTCCGGAAAAAGAATCCCATACAGAAAAAGATTTTAAATCCAGTTACTAAATTATAATTGATCTGCTACGTCGCTGCCATAACATTCTCAAGATCACAGTACGACGCCTGTAAATAACCAGTATCCTAAATTGATAGGCGGTGAAATGTAGCCTGGAACAAGTCATTAGCTATTAACAATCATCGATTCTTATGCGCTAATATGGTGAACGTAATTAAAAGCAAACACAAGCTTATGGGAAGAAAATGGACGAGAGTAGAAGATCTACTAAGCCCAAATGAAGAAACTAAAAGTCAAAATAAGGTGATAAGGAAGATACAAGATACAAAAAAAACGCTTGGACTTCAAGCGTTTATAAAAGATTTTATGACCCCAAGACCAAGGGATAGGGTCACGGAAAAGCCCAAATTAAAAAAAAAAAGAACATTATTCTCCCTTTGCCGGAGAATAGCAAAAGATAGATGTTGATGAAAGGGTTGTGTGAACAAAAGTGATGCAAGGATTCTTTCATGGATTCTGTAATGAAAAGTAAAGTATGTGTTCATATCTCGTGCATGACCCTTACAAGTAAAGACGATGTAACGTGGAGATGTGTATGTGTGCGCGTATGTGTATGTAAAAATTCAGATATGAATAAATATATATATGTAAAGACAGTATTAACAAAAGAAATGAAAAGATGAAAACCTTTTATGCTGACGCGTTTCGTTCCTTGGGGAATATTAGTAAATATCTAGACGTTAAGGAAAAGGAAGGCCGCTAAGTGATATGAATTTCATTTAAAAACTAAAAATACTCAGCGACCTCCATATTTGTCCTTTCCTTAAGGTTGAGAAAAATTGAACGCATAACGTTATTTTTCGTCGACGATACTTTCTCAGTACATTTCTACATTTGCCTTTGATAAAGCTCCTCAAATGATTGGTGTCTCAAGAAAGTGTCGAAGCAAAATAGCCAATATTAGAAAATTAGCTATAACAAATAAAATCACTGAAAGTGAAGAAAAAACGATTATGTTTGAAGAGAACAATCCAGTTATCCGCTTCGAGCACTTAATTCTTTTTTAATCATTTCACCCCAAGTAAGGCAATAAAGCCACTAAGACACAAGGAATTACTGACTGTGAAAGAATATGAGAAAAAGAAAATCATTAGTAAGGAGAGAGAACAATAAATGAATATCAAATTTTGACTGGTTAGTTGTTTTGGTTGGTTGGTTGTTTTGGTTTATGGCATATCAAAACCTCAGTGGGTCATTTAATGTCAACAAAAGTTTTTGAAATAGATTCATAGCGATAGTTTGGTAAAAAAAAACTGTATGTATACATATATATAAGAACCCTTTTTTAATTACTCATATTTTTGGGTACAGTCCAACTTCTTTTAGGAAATTTACAATCTTGGATGGTTTTACTTTCGTAAAAAGTTTTTTTTTTTTTAAATTATCCACTTGGTAATATTACAAAGTATTTCTGGTATTAAAACCTATTTTTACACAAGTTTCGGTGTTAACTATTTGCCCATAGTTGGGACCCTAACAGGTGCTACCACTCTGAGTCAGGGTGGACCTGGGAACACCAGCAATTAAGAGGTGGTTCCACGCTCCTTAAAACCTCCTTGCTGCTGGACGTAGTTTATCGTCTTACCCAGGATACAGATGTAGTTTATCGTCATACCCAGGTCAAGGTTGTGATTTTTTTTTATATCAAAAATGTATCGCTGGTAATTTTGTTTTCAAAAATGTATAGATGGTAATATATATAATTTATTTCTTCGTTCAATTATAATGTTATTAAACTTATTAGACGTTATGAAAAGAATTTACATAAAATAAATAGAAAACACTTGTCTATATTATTTAATAAAACGTGTCTGAATATATATATATATATATATATATATACACATATATATATATATATTATTTTCAGCAATGTATTGCGAGTAATAAAGCCTATTTTTATACTTTCATAATGTTTTGACCTCAGTTTGTGGAGTCAACTATTTACCCATAGCTGGGACTCCTAACAGGTGCTACCACCCCGGGTCAGGGTGGACGTGGGAACACCAGCAATTAAGAGGTGGTCCCACGCTCCTCAAAATCTCTTGGTCAGAGGCCTTGCTGTTGGATGTGTAGTTTATCGTTATTCCCAGGACGCGGATGTAGTTTATCATCTTACCCAGGACGCGGATGTAGTTTGTCGTCATACCTAGGACGGATTTTTTGACTGGAGATCAAGAGGCTGGAAGTGAGTTACACAAGCGAGAAGTACGAGAGAGTAAACTGGTAGCATAGAACTTAACAGTTACATTTCCACTGTAAAAAAAAGATGAGGCGTAGTTGCTAATCTAGTAGTGTGCTTAAATTCGTAGAGTAGAGGTACCGAAGAAGAAAGCTCATCAGAATAATTACCACGCAAAATATTTATAGAAAAATCACAGGGAAGCTAAAAAAGATTGCAGCGTACCAATGCCAAAAGGGATGAACCTCCCAAGCGTTGGAAATACCAAACTGTTGGGGGGCTCTTCCCTTTTTACATAAGATGGACTCGTCCAAAGTATACTTATACTGACAGAGAGAATACTTGCTGTTGAGATACATTCTCGACGTCTGTCGAACTCTCTGCTTTGCCAGAGAGGAACCCGGACGAGGCTTTGCCGAAGGGCAAGGTTTCGTCCGGGTAGGTAGACAGGACCTGAACCCGTCTAGGCGGGTTCAAAGTGTATATTTTTGGCCGAGTCTACGGGCTCGGAGAAACCCACTTTAAACTCGGCCTTGTGCCACATATATTCCTCGTGGGTGGGATATTAAATAAAGAGATCCGTCGAGATACAGTCTCGACGTCTGTCGAACTCTCTGCTTTGTCAAAGAGGAACCCGGACGAAGCTTTGCCGAAGGGCAAGGTTTCGTCCGGGGAGGTAGACAGGCCCTGAACCCGTCTAGTCGGGTTCAAAGGGTATATTTTTGGCCTATCCTACGGGCTCGGAGAAACCCACTTGAAACTCGGCCTTATGCCATATATATTCCTCGTGGGTGGGATATTAAATACTGAGATACGTGGAGATACGTTGAGATACGTTTAGACAGGTTGAGAGATACAGAGGGTTTTCTCAGAGAGTTATACAAGAGTCCAGAGAGAGAGAGAGAGATGATTATGGCTTTACTGACAGAGACTTGTACATATACTTTCTACTAACACGCATTCCTTGACTACTAATCTTCACTTCAAGTCTGTATTCTTACGTTTAATACACTTATTTTTCTATTTCAATTACTGGCGTTGTTTATTTATCTGTGCAGGATTCCATTCCCGGAATCCACAACACAAACTAAAAAGGAAATCAAACTCCCTTTGCTCATGACAGAAAGAATAGCAAGATTCAAACCTAGATGAAAGGATTTTGTGAACAACATTTATACATGGATCTTGGAAAGGATTTTGCAACTAAATAAAACTGAAGTATGTAACAAGGATTCGTGCATTAGACATACACGTTATATTCACATCTTTACAATTACATACGTTTACCGCTCCAACCGCAACTGTTTCTTCTACAAGTACTAGCATCATTCTTAAATTAACTAAAATGAATATAATCGTTATGCGTATTCTCATACATAGTGCTTCCATCTATTGTTGCTATGACCTTGATCGATCACCATTTTCGGCTATTCAAATAAAATATTTCATTTTATTTAAACGTCAATATCCCCTAATTAAACGACAATTACCATTCTCTGGCGCTTCCTTGTATGTCTCCTTTAGAAAAAAAATATCAACAGAATGAAATCCATCCCTGCTTAACATTCATCATTTTATTTCTAATCTCTCTTAACTATTCAGAATTTATGCAGAACGACTTCGCTTTGCTGAAAATAACGAATCAGGAAAAATGTTATTTGTTTCCAGGCTTCCACTATTCCCTGATCAATAAGAACAGGCTTTTCAATTGAATTTAACTTGAAAGAATTTTTCATTCTTTAAAAGTAGTTTTAAAATAGAGGTAAAATGTAAGAATAAAATATTTTCCTCGTTTGATTTTCGGAGTGATCTCCCTTTTCAATCAGAAATAGTTTCAGATGACTCACTATTCTTTGACTTACTATTTTTTATCCTCCGTTTTTAAATTTCAAACCTCGTTCAACTTTATCAGGAAATTGTCTAATTCAGGGAAACAGATACAGATTGTCAGTGTAAGTTCATGCCCATAGATATGTAGACTTATGTGATGGCAAGTTCCAATTTTAATATTTGGAATTTCGTATTTAATTAGAATATCAAATAG